TTAGGTTTTGAACAAGGGGATGGGCCAGGGACTGCTGGGCTGGTGGGCCGCAAGGGCTGCAGCTGCCTTGTAGACCCTCTTTGGGCACCGGGCCGAGCTGGAGGTTTCTCAGCTACAGAGCAGGACCGAAGTCCCCGTGCAAGGACTCCCCACAGATAGAGCTGCAAGTGAAGGAGAACTGCAGTACAAAGAGATATAAATGTGTGAAGTATACTAACACCTGCAGAGGTAACTAAGGTCCAAGGTGACTGGATAACTTTAACAGCACCTAGAAGAGGTGAGAAGAGGGCAGAAAGAGAACATGAGGAAAGACCAAGGAATGCTGCAGTTTTCTCTGGAGCCACACACAGAAAATGCTGCCACAGGACAAGTGTGTTCAAACACTGGAAAGTTTGCGAAGACTAGCAAGGGCAGGAGATGCCAACTGGCCTAAAATAGTAATGTTGAAGTATGGAATTAGAAAAGAGGAGCAGAAAAGGAAGCGGAGCAATAGTCCAAGTTTTTTGGATTTGTTTTTTTTTTACATCCATCTAATTTCAGCATAGGCTTAACAAACAGAAACAAAGCCTCTGGGGGATGCTTCTATCTAGAAATTCAAACTTTGAAGCAAAATCTGCTTTTCTGTCTTCAGCAGATCTAATATTTAATTACTTTTGGCAGAGATGATCTATTGCTAGTTCTGTGTTGGTCCCTTACCAGTAACTCCATGGAGTCTGAGCTTCCCCCAGTCATCTCATACTATTTAAAACATTTTAACTGGAAAGCTTAGATAACTGCATTTCAGAACTACCGTTTTACCACAAAGTTCCATCCAGTCAGCATTAGGTCTGCTAACCATGGTTGGAGTGAAAAATAATCTTGCCTTCACGTTGAGGCAGTACAGTTTCAGTTAAATGTGATTTGGAGTGGGATGTCCTAATAAGGAGCATCATCACAGACAGCTGGAAAACTAGCTTTTAAGAACCCAAATTTCAAAGCCCACTTGTTGGCAGTCTGGTACTTACTTTCTATTTCTTGGGAAGATTTGAGCGTTTCTCTGAAATCACACTATTCTTTGCAGAAGTTGTGGATTTTAAAGAGTTTCCAGGCTTCAAGAAAGACGTAGATGAAGCACCTGTGTATGCAAAGAAGATTAAAATGATGTGTAACTGAATGATTTCAATATCACATAGTGCTATTGCTAGCCCTACTGCTAAATGGAGTTATTTAATAAACGGGTCATAATATTCTTGAGGAAGGCCTAAGAGGATATTCTTTGCTGACACAAGAATGAGGCAATGCCACTTACATCCTCTGAAAGCATATTGACAAACTGGTGAGAAAAAAGTTTCATATCTCTGTTTGTATGTAAATTAATGAAGCACAAGAAGCCAGGGAGGTGAAATATGTGTGTGGACCAGGTACGATCGCCATGCCGCTGTGCAGACTGAAGAAATGGCTATATTCCTCTCTGCAGTGGGACCTGTGCAGTAATGACAGTGCTGATAGCCTGCAACTTTCACCTACCCTCTCTTGGAAAACTCAGAAGTCATGAGTATGGTGCAGAGAGCAACTCTTCTGCAGACAGCATAAAACAAGCGGCGATTTATGCACACCGCTCCAAAGGAGAGCAAAGTCCTTATACTGGGAGAATTTCACCTGAACTGTAAGTACGTTCTCCTAGACTACAGAGCTTGGTTAACAACCTGTAAGGAATGATGATGAGCTTTTCTTCTGATCTTCTTGCTTTTTAAGGAGTACTCTCTCACGCGCCAAGGCTTCTGTGTATTTGGAATAGGACCAGGAAGCCTGCAAGAACCGTTAAAAACCATCAGTCTCTTGACCATGGCTCTGGTAGGCCCTTGTCTGTTTCAACAGTGAGACGAAAAACATGTTTGTGTTATATTCCTGTCATTGAATAATCACTATTATTAAGATGACTTTTATCATGACAATACTGGAATAGCAGGAAAAATAGTATTGATGCAAAGCAATCTCAAAACACCATGAAATGTAATTTCAGCAGGTTTGAGAGAGATGATGTTTACATTCATTTATTCTCCATCTCTGGTCTAATTCCTATTCCCTGTCCTTTCATCTTCAAAACCTAAATACAGCAGACTTTTCCTCTTCCGAAATTTCAGCCTTTTGTGCTACTGAGGAACTTGATTTTTATCTCCCTGCCACATCTTTCCAGTGTGTCCTTTCTCAAATTGAAGGCCTCATTAGCCTCACACTTCTTTCTGTCTGCCCTCTCCAGCAAAGGCAGATCAACAGGAGATGTCATCCTTTCCTTTTCTAAGAAACAAAAGTTGCTCTTTACATTGCAACAACCACAGTTCAGTTTCCATGTAAAATTTAGATCGTTCTCTGAAATCAGCCCAGGAACTGTACATTCATTTGGGGTTTTTTTTTCGCTACATCATCAGAAGTTTGGGGCCAATTTGTCATGTCATGACTCAGCAAGAACTTCTTCCTCCTGCAGAAAGGGGCTATGAAAAGAAACTGTTCTATAGAAGATTATTGTTTTGTCTGCAATTACCTGCCTCTTCTTAAGGACTTAGGCATATGGTATTGATATACTGGCTCACTCAACTCACTTTTTTTTCTTTTTTTTAAATAGGTATGAGCAAAAGTTGAAAAGTCTATTTAAGGATAAGAGTGTGAGCTTAACTACATTTTTTGCACTGTGGTTTCAGATTTTGGGAGTATTTCAGACTACCTGTTTCTATATTCTGCTCATCGCTAATGTGGTGCCATGGGAAGAGCAATATGGAATACAAGGAGTGGCCAAAGTGCAATTTAATCCTGCATCGCATGACATAGCTGTGATTGTGTGGTTGCACAGATTCTACATTATGTCATGGCAATGTCAACTTGGCTATGAATGATCCCTTGATATGCCTAACATGACATGTCCATTCTTCCCGCTTCTGCAATAAAATGACTGTTACATTTTTACTACAACTTTGATGCATCATGAGAGTTGTTCTGCAAGAAATCCTAGAGAGCTGTTTTCTGTCAGCTTTTCTATCCAAATACCTAGATTTCCTGAATGAGTTCAGCTTCATTTTTTGACATATGAACAGAACAGGACTTGAGGATAAACCAAATTATTTCAAGATATGAATTTCACAAGTAATGAAAAGTTTCTTGTTCCAGAATGGAACTTCCTTTTCTTCCATTTATCTTTAATAAAGGTTCTTTATAAATCTACAACACTAAATGATGTTAGATATTAATACTACTCGGAACCTAAATCTTAAAAAAAGTAATCACAGAATCACAGAATCTCTGTGGTTAGAAGAGACCTTTAAGATCATTGACTCCAACCATTAATCTAGCACTGCCAGACCACCACTAAACCATGTCCCTAAGCACAAGATCAACATGTTGTTTCAACACTTCCGGAGACGGCGATTCCACCACTGCTCTGGGCAGCCTGTTCCAATCCCCAATGACTCTTTCAGTGAAAAATTACTTTCTAATATCCAGCCTAAACATCCCCTGGCACAACTTGTAGCCATTTCCTCTAGTCCCATCACTTGCTAGCAGGAAGAAAAGGCTGACCCCCTCCTCCATCCAACTCCCTTTCAGGTAGTTGTAGAGACCAATAAGGTGTCCCCTCAGCCTCCTTTTCTCCAGGCTATGCAATCCCAGTTCCCTCAGCCACTCTTCACAGGATTTGTGTTCCAGACCCTTCTCGAGCCTCATTGCCCTTTTCTGGACACACTCTTTGTTGCCTTTTTCTGGACAGGCTACAGTACCTCAATGTCCTTCATGTAGCGAGGGACCCAAAACTGAACACAATAATCGAGGTGTGGCCTCACCGTCACCTGTATGGTAGGTAAACTTATAACAACAAAGTTAACTGTAGAAACGTGAACAGTTATTGAAGAACCATGTAACAGTAGTATTCAAAACCAAACTCCACCATCCCATTCTCCCAGGATCGTTTTATCTCTCTTGAATGATGTCATCTATAGCAACATGTTTATTATTCACCTGCCATCCATATCCATCTGAAAATGATGCTGGTCCTCTTTCCACACCAAACTCATTGGCAAAAGCACTGCTTGACAGACTGATGAGTTTTGTTCCCACTTCTTTACCCTGCAAATAATAAGAACTCAGATGTAAACAATAGTTACTGAGCTGACGTAAAAAGCGAAGTTTGAGGAAGCAAAAAACTCTCATTGGAAATGAGATAGTGTCATATGCACTAATGTGCATATGCTCAGTTTCATAATTCATCATGTTGTGCATAATAAAAAATAGCAGAAGATGATGCTTTTTTAAAGTATTTCTTTATCCTAATGGGAGTTTTCTACACTCCCACAGACTATCTTCCTTTCAGATTGAAATACCTGCTGAGTGAGAGGGCTGATCTGCAACAGAACATATTTTAAGTACAGAGGGGCCATTTTGATCCTCTAATCTGGCCTCAGGTATAAACATAGAACATAGGAACATGATTAGTTCCAGCTTGGTCCAGTAGCTGTGAATGAACTACTGTATACATGTTAGGAAAACAGGCAAAAAAAAAAAAAAGATAAAACAGGCAAAAAAAGAGACGTCAAATGATTCCCAAAGTCTCTCAGAAAGTCCCTGGAAGATCTGGAAAAGGATCAGAATATCCTACTTCTTTGCTCCCGAAGTGCCTTTTTCTCTCTCATTACCCCCACTGTCCTCTGGACCCATCATCTACAACGGTGACGTTTGGGTATAGAACTTCCCAGGAAGTGTGGTGTTTCTCTTCTCTTCAGAAGCTGACGTACTAACTTCTGTGGCATACTAAATTGGTGGAACAGCGATGCCAAAGCAAATACAGAAGTAGTGTGTATGCCAATATACTACAGTTTATGTTTGTTAGCTTTCTCAAAGAGAATGGTGAGTTAGATGAGGTCTTTAATAATGTTTTCTCATAATAAATTAGGCAATGTTATAGCAATGTCATATCCCATGATATTACATCACTTAGTAACAAATAAGCTTGCTGCTAAGAAGATTAAAGAGAGAGGAGGGAAATATGATAAAGGAAAATTAATGCTTATGGGTTTACCTTTCGCTGCTAAGGGCATGGAAAAAGTAGGTATATATTTACAGTATAAATTAAAGCTAAACTCTAAAGCAAAGAATCAAAAATCTATTTTGGAGGAAAAAAGGCAATTGTGTATATAAGAAATTACAAATACTGACATCAAGGCAGTTTGCAAAAAGTGACTAATGATATTTTTTAAAGTATATGATATGTGCATCAAGCAGTTAACAAAGGAACAGATCCACAGACAAGTCAAAGTTGAGCCCATCTAACTGTGCCACACTAAGAGCAAGTAAGTGAAAACAGAGAAGTAAACCGTACTCTACCAAGGCAACATCTTTTGAAACAACTATTCCAGCTCAATATTGAAGAAATCACATTCTGTTGAACGTTTGAACTTTATTCACCCTGTACCTACCCATTCCTGCCTTTCAGACCCTTAAGTGTAGAAGAGGTCCCTGCACTGTACTCTGCTCGTGTGGCATCCCTTGCTGTCAGCCGCTCCTCCACTGCACTGAGTCCATAGCCCTCAATAGCATTTACCCCATAAATAATAAATAAGCACACATGAAAAATATTGAGATAGGCAAATAATGCCAAATCATGCATCACTGTCTAGTGAAAACCTGGTCTGCCCATTTTTTCGATTACCCTACATAAAAGTCCAGTTCTTATGGAGTCAGTTCAGAAAACGCAGTGAGCCTAGCTAAACTGGGCACCACAGGGACAAATCTGTGAGAAGGGAGAAAATAAAACTCCACCACCAGGACCATGTCTGTACTGTCGGATGTAAACTCAAAATGGCAACGGATTCGGGCAGGGGAATACATATGTATATAAAAGAAAAAAAATTGTTTCTCACCTTTCCAGATCTTCCCTCTCCTTCATCATGAGCCTGGTGGGGCAGAGAAGCATAGACATTATTTTAAATGCCAATAAATCATCACTTTCTACAGGCTGCCAAGAGAACCTGCTATTGCTTATGTTGGATGAGCCTTATCGGTATCCTTCAGGGATACTGAATCATTTGAACAGTTATGTTTTCACTGAGGGAACAGAAATACCATGCAAGAGAGCAGGGAATGGCAAATTCTTTAAACAATAATAGAGAGGTGAAAGAGTTTCAATTGTAAAAGATTTACAATGATATTGTAAAAGATTTACTGATATTTTTTGGTAAGAAAAATAGTCCACACTGTTCACCAAACTGCGTTCTCTACTTGTCACTTTCTAAAATTTCTTATCCTACTTCCCAGCTTAGAAGGCTAATTAATTTTTCCCAGTTGTTCCCCATAAAAGCTAGGTTTTTTCCCTCCTGGCCAAGATTTGCTCTTTACTTCCTTGGTCTTAATCAGAAATCTTATAGACAGGCAACAAACAGATGGAAAAAATAAGTCTGTGAAAACGCAAAAGTGCATTACTTTGAAATATTGCATTCTTGCACTATAAGTATTGCCAACGGCCTTGCCAGATATATCTGAATAGAGACAATGTGCTTTGGAGGAAGGAACATGAGTTCTTGAATTTTAGACTTCACTTGACATTGGTGTGTGGCCACGAGTAACACTCCTCTAGTGCTCAGTTTTTCATGTGTCTAGAAGAGGGTAACAACATGGACATGTTCTTATGGGCATATATGTATTTGGGTACTCATGTGGTTCTCATCATGAGCAATATCTCAACACATGTGTACGTGGTATTTAAAATATGTAAAGGTCTTATAATGCTACTTACCATAGTTTGCATGTCAAATAATTTCTCTGCCCTTAAAGGAATGTTCTCTCCTCAAAGCTGGCCAAACAATTAAATTTTGTAAAAAATAAACTGTTGCAAAGCTTATAATCAATAGCAAAAAAATCCATTCTATTTTAATAGAAAATTCCAAGAAAAACAATTTTACAAGCAAGCATTCCGCTGTAGAGGTCACAGTTCTGTTAATGCACTGAAACTGTCTGGAAACTCATTGTGAATAGCAACAATTTCACTGTCAGAGCTGAGAAATAGTCAAGAAAAGACAAAGACTGTACAAAGCAATTAGCACATAAGTATTTTCAGAAATAATGTGCAGACTTTTCAAATGCTCCTACTGGAAAATAAATGTGAAATCTGTTTTTGTTTTCTTTTGCTTTCAGTAGTAACCCAGGACTGTAAATTCTGAAACAGGACAGTACATCCTGAAAGTGCAGATGGGTTTGCAGTTACCCGTTATATACATGGACCATACATCGTGGGATTTTAAAAAAAAAAAAATAGCCTTCTTTTTCACTCTTCTTTTGGCTCAAAAGATGACTAAAATACATTTTCCTCTCTGCTTAATGAAAGAAGTATTACATTGACTCATCTGCTTCAAGTTAAACATATGTATATGCATTGGCAGGATTGGGAAATAATTGCTCTAGGACGGGGTTGCATGTAAGACTTAAATTCTAACAAAAAGATTTTGGTAGCTTTGAATCAGGCTAAGAAAAAATGTTTGAATTCATGTATGTTTGCTCATGAAGGAGTTTTTATGCAGTTTGTCAGCTGCCACCTGAAACTTTGTGAGCCTTACCTCTGCTGTTTGGTCTTCCATCCTTAGCATCATTTTTCCCTTTTTTGTCTCCAATGCAGTTAGAATCTGGTCACTAACCAAACTCGCTTGAAACTTACAAAATTTTGGCCAGAATTTAAACAGAAGAGCAAAAATGGTCATCTGTGCAGAAAGGAAAGAAAGTCAATCTTGACCATATTAATAAAACAGAGTTTACTGTAAAATAAAATGTAGTTTACCATAAGAATGAAATAACTTTTTTTTTTTAATACACAGCCTTGTTCCTCCCACATACTGTGTCCTAACATTTCAGCCCATCTTTGCTCAGCACATGCTTTTCATCAGTATGTTTATTACTGGTGAGAAATCTTCCTAAAACACGCTTAAAAGGCACTTTCTTTTTTTATATTTCCCTAAACAATTGTTTGCATTAATGAAAACATCCATCATCTTTTACAAGTATTCTTGATAAAATATACACCAGTATATTTGCACCACTGTTCTGCTCAAGTATTTCAAATATTCAGTTCATTAGGGAGAGGGCTTTTTTTTCCCTCCTTAAGAGAAAGGAAATACTTTTTTGCCTCTGGAAAGGCTCTTAAACCACATTACAGATCTATGAGCAAATCTTGGATAATTTTTAAATGATATAATCTCTCACAGGGTCTTTTTTGAACTGGAATAAGAAAAACAATTTTAGAAAAGCAAACTGAGGGGCTTAGTGAATTCTGTTGCTGCACGTACTAAGGTTCACATTTTTCAATTTATTTAGATGTTTAATTCTCATTGAGAAACTTGGCTTCAAAGGAGCCAAGCATGCTCAGCACCTCATGGCTTCTGGCTCAATGGATTTGAAAGTGACATGTGAGTCACTGTCATGTTTCAGTCACAGCTTTTCCGCCAAGTTCTTCCCTTGGTTTTGTGCCACATTTCTGGAGTTCGCTGGCTTTACACAGGTTGAAATGAGACTTCCATTTCTCTTAGGACCAATATGAACTTATTTCTCTGACAAACCGTTAATCTTTTGTGATCCAAACACTTTATGGGCTCACAGCTGATGTTTAAAGGTGTTGGTGGCAATTTTACAGGAAAAGAAGAGAAACTAGCTTTTTTGGGTTTAGAAGGTAAGACAGATGAGACCATAACAAACAATAAGAAAGTAGCAAGTCTGTAGTAAAGGTTCACAAATTGCTGATTAGTACAGAGATCAGAGAGAAAAATGTCTACAGCTATTTAATACAGACTTTCTGTAATAAAGGAAAGGCATTCAGTAAGTTAAGCTGTCTTTGTGTTTTGCTCACATCTGCATTTTTTCCATAAACTACAAAACTACAAGCTTTCTAACTACAAAATATTTCTGTTACATTAAACAAGCAAGCAATTAAAATCATAGACAGAATTAATTTCTACTGCCAGAATTCCTAACACAGACCTGGATGACACCTCTCTGGGATCAGCTAGCTGCCAGAGATTGTCCAGCTGATGGAGCAGTAAGTATCTGAAACCTCCCTGTCATTTCCCCCATACGATCTTCACTGAAATGCGTGTCTGTAGTGTTCTCCTTCATGCCCAGGCTTATGTACAGAGTACAAATTGTCGCATAAGCAACAAAGACTGCCCTTAAAATCAGGAACACAGACTCTAGCCAGATCTGTTACAGAGATTATCCCGGCTTCTTACTTGTGCCTCTCTAAAAATGTAAGGTCCTAGGTCTTTCCTGTTTTCCAAAATCTTATCTGCTTGTTCAGTTGGGATGTCAATCTGCAATGTTGGGGGTACAGCAGAATTAATAAAGCGGTCGATAATAGCTGTGATCTTTTTCTGAACTGTGGCATCATCACAATGAGAATGGCACAAGTCCTGAAAGACGAAAAATAACATTTTCAGTGAACAGAGAGATAAAAGGCCCTTTACAGGGGCCCGGTGATTAAAGAGTAATAGTCATACAAATATAATTATACACTAGATTCCTTCAGTATGTAGGACAAAATTCTTATAGTAAATGTGCAAGGCCAAAGACATAGTGAAGACATGAGTGGGACTTCTGATTTGCAAATGCAGATTTATGGCAATCATTGCTTTTAGGTGATAATCTCTGCCTGCTCTTTCTGATAGAACAGGATAGTTTTTAACCTGCATTCAGTTCAAGCACATTGCTGGAAAATAGGAGCCATTTCTGAAAAGAAAAACACACATATAGGTGTGAAATTCACTGGTTTTCACGCAAGCCTGCTATGACTAGCATAGCCATGGTAACTAAAAGACAAAGAAATGCTCTAAATAATCCAGGAGTAGAAGGGAATTACTTAGAGGGCACAAGGTATTATAATCAGGAATGTTGGCACAAGAAGGGACAATTTCAGCTACTAGTACAATCTCCCATTCATTGAAATCTTGTAGTTTCACCATTCATTAAGATTTTCCAGTTTCCCCAAATCTCAGTGTTTGAAACAGCTCTGTGCAGGACAGAGTACAAAACAAACCTGAACTCATGAATGTGGTATCTCAAAGGAATACTGCGTGTTTTCTACTTTTTAAAATGCGGTCCTATTGTTCTAGTAAACCCTGTTACTGCTGTGTTTTCACACTCTGACAATGCTACCATCGGACTTCGACAGGAAGGAAAAATAATTCAAAAAACCTGATGAACTTTACAAACTTCTATAACACTCTGAGACTATCACATATATCTACTAGAGACACAATGAGCACTCCAGAGAATTTTCAGGAAGAGAGCTCCCCAAATGAAGAATATGCATTTAGTTTTGGTATAGAAGGCTGGATATTTACTTTGCAAAGAAATTAAAACCAGGGATTTTAACCAGAAATGTGGTGTGTGAAAGAGCTGGCTTGTTTTATTATGAATACTTTTTAGTTTTGTTAAGGAAAAAAAGAATGATAACAGCTGTAGTGAAGAAAGTAAGGCAATACGAAAACATATTCAATATATCCCAAGAATACATTATGGCTTCCTTTGCTCATCTAGCATAAAAGAACAGGCAGAGAGTTGTAGTAAGAGGGAAGACAAACAAGCCATATTATATGAAGAGGGATGAGACATGAGCAAGGAGGGACAGATGGAAACGATCCACAGAGTTACATTTCTTCATATTTGTTTTAAAAAATACCTAATAATTTGTTTTTTGATTGTCCCAAGATGTGCCACCAGCTTGATGGGTTACGAAGAGCAATGCAGTCATTGACTCCTAAATGGAGTCCTGTCTAAACTCATGGCACGATAGGGCTCAGACAATACAAGTATGCACTGTGCAAAGTGCTGCCCACATCTTTGGCAAAGTTCCTCCAGTTCAGCCTGACCCATAACACTCCTGCTACTTTGCTTCTATAAAGAGCATCAACTGCCAGCCATGACAAATCACACGCATCTAGAAATATGGCCAGATTGTACTTTTTCTTGATAAGAACACAAATAAAATTAACACAAATGAAGGAGAGGGGGTGGGACAAAAAACAATGAAGGCTTTCTTCAGAGAGCACATCCACGAAGAAAACAATCTAATCTGCACTCCACATTTTCCATATCCTCCACAATATAGCAACGGAGAGTCAAAAATCTGAAAAAAGCATCAAATATTTCTAGGAGGATTTGTGTCACAGGACTCCAGGTGCCTTCATGTTGAGATTGTAGTCTAAGCTATTCACTGTAACAAAGAGAGAGACAGCAGCACCCTCAGAGAGAATTTCAGCCAATTACTCACTTGGGGTTCAAAGCCTCTGTGAGGAGGGGAGATAGCCCCCTGGAAACAGAGGATCTTCAGCTTCTAAAGCAGTCCCCAAGTTCAAATGCATAAAAACAGTGAAGCAGTGAAAATACACCTACGCGCCTGCAGAAGGATCTGCAAGTGTTACTGTGGCATTAGCTGTGTTTACCTCCTAATTTCTGAGCAGGTTAACTAATGTCGTGCTCCCTGCCTGACACATGTACACAGGCTCAGGAGCCCGGGAGAGGTTCTGCACTTCAGTATCGTTTCTGCATCACCAATATCCCAGAGGCAAAAGGAGTGAGGAATGAATGAAGGCTCCTTGGTGCTTCTGCATTCAGTCCAGGGTGCTACTAGGAGTATGCTGTGTGATTTAAAGACTCAGTCCAGAGGTTTCCCATTGAGTTCCACCCCACTCAGTAGCAATTTCACAAAGGGGCATATATTTGGGAGAAAGGCAATCCCAGCTGACCTTCCCTATCCTGCTTCATTTTGGCCACATCCTCATGTGCAGACAAATGGAACTGTACAGAGTGCAACGGGGTCTGCACTGTATATACAGGCATTTTGGGTAGATACTATCTTTACGTCTGTACATTTGATTGAATTTAAACGTTTTCTCTGATTTTTGAGGGATTACCCAATTCAGCAATAATTCCATTATTTCACAGCATGCAACTATAAAGACAGAGTGAGAATTTTAATGCTTGCATATTTTCTACTGCTCAACAAATGCATACCAAAATCTGGGCATTAGCTAGTAGTGTCCCTTTAGAGACTCAGAAGAATGTTACTGTTTGAAGAAGCATAAAGAAATACAGGGATAATACATTCAACTCATTGAAAATAGCTTTGCTTAAGAAGAGAGGATTTTCAACAAAAAACAGTTTAAACCCTGAAAGAGGTTTTAATGTGAACAAGAAAATGCCTAGAGATATTCTTCTTAAAATTCTCCCTATATGCAGTACTGGATGCGTTTGCTTACAAATTGAATGATATTCCCCTTGCTCCATTTTACCACCGTACCTTATACTTCTGTACCTCTTGCCAAAAGAGCACTCCGTTCTCCAGTAGGTCTCCTTTCAGTGACACAAAGAGACGAAATTGATTTGCTGTCACCGGATCCAACAGCGCTTTACGGAAAGCAATTACTTCACTAGATGAAGAAACCCACTTATTGTCCACATGCTGTCAAAAGAAGAAATAAATGCACCAAATAAACTTTGTTTCAAAAAGCAATAACAAAGGCATTAGTTAACATAAACTGTCTGATTCTTATCTTTGCACTGACCCTAACTTTCAGTAGTTTATGAGTTTATGACATGGATACAATAGAATGTGGCAAGGTTTCATTTATTTCTCTCCTCCTTTTATTTTTTTTTCCAGCTTGGTTTGGGCAACATTTTTTGGAAGATGTGATGGGAGAGGAAATGACTGACAATGATTTAGACCATATGACTACATACTGTAAAGTATGGAAACAGCTATTGTTATTGATTATGGCAACAGGCTACTTTTCTAGAGAACAGTTTGAGTTTTGTGCAAACAAACAACAAAGAAAAAGGAACGGACAAACCACATAGCTTAAAGTTGTAAAATGCTTCTGACAGGGATCTCGCCAACAAAATGAGCTTTGAAATGAGTTGCCATGATCACCAATAGAAGCCAGAGAGTTTGCTCTCTGTGGAATAAAGCTACCAATAGGAAAACAGAATTTAAAGTCATCAAGACATTTTGGAAATCCTCATGCCACAAAGCACAGAGCAGTAGGCAGCCAGGAAAGGGTGGAGAAAGAAAGAAAGAAAGATGGCTTTATGCAGGGACAGTTTGTTTGAAATGGAGTTCAGGCTGGCCTGTCTTCCTGAACAAACAGTTCTTGTGCTGTTACTGAGGAGCAAACCAAACAATCCCCTTTGTTATCAGATGGATGAATGAAAACTATCTTCTAACAGTGATATAAAACTCTTGAAGTCCTGGAGGAACGGAGTGTTATTCAGTGGACAGCATGGAACAGAAGCATTTTTAGTTGTTGCACACAGTCCTGGAAATCTAACCTGATTCTAAGCTGGAGGTCTTTCTACTGCTTCTCTTGAAAACAGGGACTACACTTAGCGTCCTGCCGCACAGCTGGCCAGGAGTGAGAGCATGCTCTTGTGAGAAGGTGGGTGGTGGCTGTCCAAAGGGCCCTCTGGTTAAAATAAAATTAGCTCAACTTAAACAGTAAAGGGGGATCTTCTCAGCCCTCCTCCAGTTCTGCAGACATGGTCTGTCCCCTGTGAACAGCATTTAGGCAACTTTTGGGAAAAATTATCTCTGGACCTTTTTCATGAAGGGAAGAACAAAATGTTGCTCCCACTCCTATACTAATATACAAACACTGCTTATTTTATAGGTCAGCAACCTTGAAGCAGAAAATGGAAAATAACCATCTTCCTGACAAACAAAGGGAAAACTCAGTTAACAGAACCCACATGCACTTTGAGTCCCTTTGAGCTAATGGTTTGCATGGATAATTGGTGACCGGCTCTCCAGTTTGATTTCAACAGACAATAAAAATTCAACTGAATAAATGTACACAACTTGTATGTTGGCAATCACAAAGAGTTCACTGCTCTTCAAGAGGAAAAAACTGGCAAACGTTTGATGAAATGTATTATTACAAAGGTTTAAGATATTTAAAATGATATTATCTCAGTGCTGTAAGATTAAAATACAATTCTAAATGAAACAGATACTGTGAGATATGATTAAACCTGCCCACTCCAGTGCATACTTCACATTCCCTTTTGTGTCTGCACATAATCCACTTGCAATAATAAATAAACTACCAGATGCTGGAATGAACAGCTTGTCCCAATAAGTCCACTGCATACAAAATACAGATAAATGTGAATTAAAGATACAATACTAGTTTGAGAAGAGTTAAGAATGCTCCAAAGCCCAGGACAAGAGACATGTTTTTGTCAAGTATGACCCCTCCAGTCAGGAAGGGAGACAAATTTACTACGAACATCCAACAGGGAGCTGAATTCACCAGCAATGTGAATAATCAGTCCACTGTAGCCAATACAATCATGCCTGCTTTTAACAGCATTACATTTGGGCCTCACACTGTCAGCAGGGAAATTGTGAGGGATGTACAAGGTCCAAACAGAAAAGAGAGTGAAATCGCAGACGCAAGAGACACAGTAAACTTCACTTACCTTCCACATCCTGGTTGTCCTCTGCTGGTTTAGGTGTGAAAGATCTTCAGTTAGGTCTGTTGTCTATGATTGAACAAAAGGTTATCATTGCATTTTTTAAACTCTTTTTGTTTCATGTTCAGCCCTCTAATGATTGAGACCATAGTGGTAGAATATTTAATATATCTTCTTATGGCCAAGAGGGCCAATAGGATCCTGGGCTGCATTAAGAAATGTGTGTCCAGCAGATCTAGAAAAGTTCTCCTGCCCCTCTACTCTGCCCTGGTGAGACCACACCTGGAATACTGTGTCCAGTTTTGGGCTCCCCAGTTCAGGAGAGACAGGGACCTCTTGGAGAGAGTCCAACAGAGAGCTAGGAGGATGATTAAGGGACTTGAACATCTCTTCTGTGAAGAGAGACTGAGAGAACTGGGGCTGTTTAGTCTTGAAAGGAGACGGCTGAGAGGGGATCTTATTAATGTATAGAAATAAGGGGTGGTGTCAAGGGGAAGGAGACAATCTCTTCACAGTGGTGCCCAGCAACAGAACAAGAAATAATGGGTTTAAGTTAGAACATAGGAAGTTCCACCTCAACATGAGGAGAAACTTTTTCACTGTGAGGGTGACAGAGCACTGGCACAGGCTGCCCAGGGAGGTTGTGGAGTCTCTTTCTCTGGAGACTTTCAAAACCCGCCTGGACGCGTTCCTGTGTGGCTGCCCTAGGGGATCGTGCTCTGGCAGGGGGGGTTGAACTAGATGATCTCGAGAGGTCCTTTCCAACCCCTAGCACTCTACGATTCTATGATTCTGGCATCTTTATATCTGAAACTTTTTGTAGACCCACACTGAGCACCATCCCTTGCTCAGTGCTCTTTAAGGCCAGGGAGTTAGAGAAGATGAGGCAATAGCAAATGGCCATTTTTCACTGGTTTACTGTACCCATAATGTTCTGAGGGAACACTTATGTCAGGAACAAATTTTGACCCTTTTTTTTGTACTAAATGTTTTTTCCTCCTTTGGACAGCTGTATCAGAAATACACACTTGATCATGCAGCTTCTTTATAGCAAAAATACACCTCAAATCAAGGGCAGATTTTCTGAGTGAGAACTACATAGCATGCCCACTGTGTTTGGTCACTGTGAAATATGAAGCCAAGTGGAGAATGTCATCTGGTTTCATTTCTTCTAAAATACTTTCTTCAAAGGACCTTTTAATCCTCTGAATTTGCAGTAAGAAAAAGAGCAGTCAGACAGAAATGGAGTTAGGAAAAGGCTAGAAGCTCGTTATGTATGTGTATGTTATGTGTGTATTTCTCATAAACTGTTCATTAGAGTTGAATACAGCATTTTTCAAACTGCGTGGGCTGCTTTC